GGGGGGGGGGTTGATTGCATACCTATATACCTATCAATCAAATTTAAGATAAATTACTTAATTTATTATTAACATTAAATTGCATAGGTGGTTGGCATTGTTAATTAATTTTAAGTAAACTTGTCCTCATGTATTATGCGTACATATCAAAGTTACACACCTACTCTCCCAAAGTTTTAGAGTCCCTGCCCATCACCAGGGAGTTGAGGCTTTATTGACAAAATTATTTACTTTTTTAATTTTCTCTACATTTTTTTTAAATTTAGAAGGTCTCATGAATTAATTACATAGTGAATTGATTTCTTAACAATATTTATGGATAACTATAATCTTATAACATAACATAACTTAATTTTATTAGTTTTTTCTGTTTGAGGTAAAACATGTAATTCAATATGTATCAATTTAATTTATAATTAATATTATGTTAAAATTGTAAAATTTACAACAATTCATTATGAAAAAAACACAACTCATATACACACTCATTTAATATCATGCATTGTGGTGACAATTTATTATCAACAAATATATAAATCATTTGCCATATAAAGGTCATATGACTTTTTTTTTTTATATGAAAAGATCATATGACCTAAGAAGTTGTGGTTTGTAAGAAGAGCATTCACTCTTTACTTTATTAATTAATATTTAGTTTTTTTAAGATGTTAATAAAAATATTTTTTTATGAATTCGTTAATTTTAATATAAATGAGTTATCTTTTACCAAAAAAAAAAAAAGAATTAATTACAAATTGTGTTTAATTTGGTCCAAAAATACTATGACTGTTAAAAAGAATAATAATTAAAGGTCGTAGACCAAAATTTTATATTTGATTATCACATCCAAACACGGAAATACCCAAACGTTGTCGTTCAAATGAATTCTATTTCTACCCTCTCGTTTCTCGGCCCCAGTCCTATCACATTATCAGTCAAGCCGTGTCTTCCCGGACATCCCCACTTTCTCAGAAGCTTCACCAAAACTGCCCGTCAGGTAACCGATTTTTCTTTTCCGTCACATTCCCCGCCGTGCCTCCGTATCTAACGGTTATCTTACCCGAATTCTACTTGTACTGAATCAGATCGCCGACGATTGCTTCGGCCTATACTTAGACTTCCTCTTGTTCTATATATTCATTCACTTTTTGCGCCGGTATTGGAGTAATCTCTGAGTTAATTGCTTATTTTCTGTATATTTCCGTTCTGATTTTTGCCCAAAACAGATCTGTTAACCACCTTAGATAGCTAAATTCTGAATTCTGAATTCTGAATTCATCAGTTACATGTTTGGCTGATGAATATTGTAAGATCTTCAAAATTATTAGTTTTAAAGTAGATTGTTGTTGTGATTCAGTATACTTTTTCTGGCTCTGATTTGCATGTGGTGGCTGTTTTTGAGTACACTGATCTTCCAACTGGTTAGCATATCGCTTTAAATTTACTGTTTTGTATCTCAAAATGATTTGGGGTTGCCGATTTTCAGTGAACTGCTAAGAAAAAAGGCAAGAATACCAATGAAATTAGTTTAAAAGCTTGAATGAATCGACGAGATAGAGGATTTATTAAGAGTATTTAAATAATTTTTTATATATTTATGCACTCTTTTCTTACAGGTTGACCTGGAAAACACTTTTTGAAATAATTTTGTTAAAAGTAAAAAGAAAAAAACCTATTGCCAAAGATATATGGGGGGTTCTTATGTAGGCATAACTCTCTGTGAAAACTTCAGTTTCTAGGCCTACTGAAGCATTGAGTGAATAATGTGCCTCAAACAAGAAGTTATGTGAGTTTAAACAGGACTTTGTAGGTATAGGCTCAACACATACGTGCCTGCATGTGCAAATTTATTTATTTTTGGTGAGGCACTGAGGCTTGAGATTATTAATTTGTTCTTCTTTTTCCTTTTTTGGGGATCAAACCTGTATGTGATGTTGATGAAGGTAAGATTTCTTTTTTATTTTTTCCAGAACTGTGCAGTTAGTTATATAGGGGTGGTCAATCTTTGTTTTAGGAAAGCATGGAATCCAATAGGAATCAAGGTGGAATTCAGCAATTGCTTGCTGCAGAACAAGAAGCTCAACATATTGTCAATGCTGCCAGAAGTGGTAATGTTCTACTTTGCTTCTGTTTCCATATATATTAGCTGTTGAAACATCCTGTATCTAGATCCAAATTCATATATTAATTAGTCCTTCCATTTCTTATCATCTATCTATATTCTGCCTGCTACTGTTATTGTGCCTGAATGTGTCCTGTTCCTTGCTTCCTTTGAAGATTTAGATATAGTTTATTTGGGTTTGACTTTTCATGTCAAGTAAGAAGATATATACCTATTTCTAGGAATAGGAGATGTATTTGCTCATGTTTTTTTGTATTGTAATTAGAATGTCTTTCCATGCTTGCCTTCGTACTCCAGAGGCACAAAAATATATGTGCTTCTACATACATGACTTTGTTGGTGTCCTCATAATATCTAGTCTAAACTTCTCTCTCTCTCTCTCTTTCTCTCTCCTTTTCCTTTAATTTTTCTGATTATGCTCCTTCAGTTCTAAAACGTCTTTTCCCCATTGCTTTATTGTTTTGCTTTCTGCTCTTAGCAAAAATGGCCAGGCTGAAGGAGGCCAAGGAGGATGCTGAAAAAGAGATTGCTGAGTATAGATCACAAATGGAGGCGAGGTTCCAGGGGAGACTTGCAGAGGTAAATATTTAATGACAGTTAACCCTTAGGCTAGGCATCTTGCTTCTTGATGATAACTCATTAATCTTTTGTCCTGTTTTATGCCTTTTACTTTTAACTTAGTATTTTCCAAAACCAAATGTCTACTATTCTTTTCATGTTGTCTTATTTTCATTGAACAGAGCAGTGGAGATTCAGGTGCTAATGTGAAGAGGCTCGAAAAAGAGACAGAGGCTAAGATTCAGCACTTGAAAACTGAGGCTGCAAGAATATCAGATGATGTTGTCCAAATGCTTCTAAAGCATGTAACAACTGTGAGGAATTAACTGATGGTAAAGGTATGAAAAACACAATAGGAGTCTGATATCCTTTAGCATGGTCCATCCTGGGTTTTAGTCAACCTGTGTGCCGTTGTACTAGTCACCTTGTATTCTTTCTTATATTAGACTTCTCCTGGCAAACCAAAATTTCATTTTAAGTGGTCCTAGCCTAGTCCCATCATAATCTGTAGGTGACTCATGACTGATCCATAAAATGGAAGGTACTTGCTTCTGTTACCCAAAAAAGGGTGCAATATAATGCCTTTGCCTTCCAAATATGCACATCTGCATGAACTTTTTCAACAAACTGGGACACCCCCTTTCTTATATTATCAATCTGTGGGGTTGTTAACTCTTATGGTTATTGAATATCTGCAGTTTTTGGGCCCCCACAAAGTAAAAGTAATCCATGTAAATGAGCGATCCATCCTTCAACTTCTTTTAGCAAGTTTATTATGCACACAATCACTTTACAAACACTAACTCGTGACTCATTTTTTGTTCCAAAGCATATTCTGTTCGCACAAATGAACCTAATGGATAGCCTTTTATTCATATATAATACAATTAAATATGAGGAGATTTTTTCGTAATTAAAAATTTGAATTTTTATATTATAGATTTTAAATTAAAATCTTAAATAGAATGAAAAGAGATTTTAAAAAAAATATTATTTTTGTTGTATATTTCATTATCTGTTATATATATATAAAAAAAAAAATGAATTGGATCTCCGAATGCTGGTAGCTTTTATATTCTTTAGAAGTTCCTTGGATTATATGTTAGGAAGGAGAAATGGCCCTTAAATGCCTCGGCCATTAGATTAACTGAATCCTTAATTAGTTTTAAGTTCCGTTTAAGTTCATTTAAATATATTTTAACAAAAAAAATATATATTTTAATGTAAAAAAAAATAAGATATTTAATATTAATTAAATAATAAAATTAATTTTATCTCATTTATTTTTTAATTTTAATTAAATGTAATGATATTTTTAATAGTAAAATGTTTTGTTTTTCTACTACATCTAAACTCAAATTGTAATTAAAAAAAAAAAAGACAAACCTGAATCCCCATCTGCTGCTTAAACTACTAAAAAAATGAACAAAATCTAGATCCCAAGAGCAACAAAATAACGAAATCCAAGGTAATTTCCCATCACATCTTATTGCTGCACAACACAGAGCACATGGAGCATCGGAGTTTTCCCCAAACAAAAGGGTCCACGGACTCCATTTCCTTCACTCCAATCCTGAATCTACCTCACGTTTTTCTCTCCAACTTTTCCACCACTCAAATTGCACAGAAATCACCCAAAAAAGCAATCAGAGACAGCTCCAGAATCCTGAAACCCAAAAACCCAAAAATCGGAACTAAAAGGGTGCAAGTGGGTCCGCACCGCAACCCCCTTCGCTCATTGAACCAGAAACAGTGAAAAATCCAGTTGGGTATGGCCAAGAAGAAAAAGGTTACTCTCAACTCTGAGGTTTGACCGGAGTCCAGACAGCTGACCAAGCAACCACGTGATGCGATTGGCGGTTTATAATTTCTAGGAGGTTTTGGAATTAAATTAAAAGAAAGAAAACAAAATATTGTGGTTGCTCAATGCAACTCTACAGAAGCCTAAAGTATACTAGGATTTTTTCACCAAAAAAAAAAAAAAAGTATACTAGGATTTTATTTTATTTTATTTATATGCTGACTTGGATCATGCTTAGGGCCAAATTTTGCAATTTTGATCTATTGTCTTTGGCACCTTTTTTTTTTTTTTTTTTTTTTTTT